TATATATAAATTCACATTTTTCAAAAAAGAAAGATGTCATCTTACACGTATTGTCTGGTCATCAGATGATGTCAGAAATGAAGATCCATCTGGTGAAAATGTCACACAGTGAACCCAGCTCATGTGTCCCCTGCAGTATGCTACTTTTGACAAAGATTTGATATTCCATAACTACAACAAAAATATGAAAGAAGAACTCAAATGGATTTAGATTGCATTTACAGGAAAAACAGTGCAAAACCGGTAGTATACTTAATTACTATTTCTTCTAGTATTTTCTTACTTCTCGTTCTGAAATCAGATGTAACAAGAATTGTGCCTGCTTATCACACCTCGATGGTCAGGAAAATGGAATCAGCAGCCTCTTTGACTGCTATAATTTTAAAAGATGAGGGGAAAAAAAGGAAAAGAAAATTTAAAAAAAAATCAGTCACCGTATTAAAAAAGAAACAAAACAAAACACCAACAAGTTCAACCGACCATGTAGATTGCAAAAGCAAAATACCCCAAAAAACAACAACAGAAAAAACAAACAACAACAGAAGAAACAACCCCAAAACTGATACTTGTACAGGCTTACTCTAGCCATGCTAGTCCCAAAGTCGTTCTAGCTGTTTTATTCCTTTTTAGTGAGTTGCCAAATTCTGTAGCAGCATATAGAAAGGGAGGGGGGTTTGTCTGAGTTAAGCAATGGGAAGGTCTATACTTCTGAGAGTGACAACAGTATCTTTAAAGAAATTTGGTAGCCTAGTCTTTTTATATAAACATGCATTTTGTTGTCCAAAATGAACATATAACTTTAAAATGTTATTTCCCAATTGATATTTTACATTTCAGAAGCAAACAGAGATTAGAAAGAATGACGCACATTTAAAGCCTGACAAAATAGCTACATTTGTTTCACCTCTGCATACAAGAAACTATTAAGATAAAGATAAGATTTCACATTACAAATAGTCTTTCCTGGAATACTGTAGCAAAGAATCACTTACCTCAACAGAACAGTGAGACAAAGCAACTGCTACTAGCTCATCACCAGGACAAAAGTCACAGTATTGGATTGTACTGTGATGACTTATGATGACTTGTGTTAACAAATCACATGTTTTAACATCAAAAAGCTGTGAACACATAATTACAATAGTTAGCATCCAGTTAGTATGACTTCACTATAGACAAATAGCTTACATGCTCAATAGTGTACATTCTTGAATTTAGAAGGTATTTCTCTCAGTCAACAAGTTTGTTCGTCACCTATTTTTACTTTACACACACTTGAAACCATGCACCTTATCTGAAATCTTAATGGCCTAGAATTTTATCTTTAATCATAATTTCTAACTAGATGAACTTTAAGGTCCCTTCAAACCTAAACCATTCCACAATTCTATACTACCTCAAGAAAATTATTAAAGTGAGGTACTTACCAAAAGCTTATTTTTGGCTACCACCAAAATCATGTCACCATTTCTGGACCAAGAGCAACATTTTACTAAAACCTCCACATCATCTGGTTGCTCTTCTGCATTTCTGAAGAAATCTTTTATTTCGATACTTTTCAGTTCATTTGCTGAGCGTGCTTCCCAAAGCTGCAATGAAAAGTAAAGGAAATGCACAAAACCTCTTTCTACTGATACAGAATACAACAGGGGAGAGTTAACTCCCAATCACTTCTAGGGAAGAAGGGAGGCAGAGGGTAGAATACAAAAAAGCCTTTGCTACTTTCCCCAGTCAAGAAATAGCATTAGAATATTCACAAGCCCAGACAGCTTAGATCAAAAGAAAAAAAAAAAAAAGAAAAAACCAAACCACCAAATAAAACAAAAAACCCCAACCAAAACAAAAAGAGGATTACACTGTAGCAGAACCTTCTCCATGGGTTTTTTCATATCTTTCCAGCTACAACACTGTCTCTTAACAAAAGAATAAAAAAACCATCTGCTCTGCAACTCTATTAAAAGTCCACTCACCATGAGAAATATGGTAACATCTAACTTTGCACCCTAATTTCATTGAGGCACCTGCCAAAAATCTACTGAATATTTCTGTTCCTTCCACCACAATTTTCTTTCTGAATGACAACAGCTACAGCAACTGTTCTTTCCTGATTTAGCAACTCTACAGAAAGATAACAGTGGTTTAAGAACTTCAGTTCTGAAATAGCATAGTTCTGTTGCAACCAAAGGCAATAAAAAGAATACTTACATTCTGAGGAAAAACAAAACATAAACCTCTCAATTCTCTTCTAGTGCATACATAAAAATGGCACATAGAAATTACTTTTAACTTTTATGCCTACTGATGATTCATTTTCAGAGATGACAGAACTTTCAATTAATCTAAAAATTTATTGTGTGTGTTTTTTAAACAAGTTTCAGTTGCCCCCCACAAGTTTTCTTAAAGTACATTAGGGGAAAAAAAAATTTAAAAAAAAAAAGATTGTGAAAATAAAGGATTCAAAATGAGGCTAACTAGAATTTATTTACAACTACAGGCACCCAACTTTCCCCCCCGCCCAGTACTGGACAATCCCTTTCAAAATCTTGCATTAAAAATGGGACGAATAATCAAATGTTTCAGGATTTAATTCATTGAAGGTGACCGTACAGTTGCAAAATTTTCTTATACATATTTTGCATTTTATACGAAAAAAATCCACCATCAAAACAAATAGTTGATTTAAAAATACACTGTGTACCTTTACTGTTCCATCTGTTGAGCAGCTAGCAACATATTCATCATTTGGTGAAAATCTACAGTGATTGACAGAATTTACATGACCCATCATTGTATTTCTACAATACTCCTTGTTCAAATCCCAAAGCTGCATGAGAAATAAACATATAATCATGTTCATGAGTTATTCAAAGATAGATTGTTCATGTTCTTCTCAAAATCATGCAATGGCAACCAAAACCTCAAGAGTTGGGAGGTTTTTTTTTTAGTTTTACCCACATGCTCATGAACTTGATGCTATGCCCTGGGCTACCCCTCAATTTACCTCCATCTGTTAACTTGCATGAAAACTATTAACATCGGAATTATACTAGTTAAACTTTCTGTACAGTGCAGACAAGGCCCTTGAACAGCATAAAGCTACTGAAAGTTTCCTTAAATTGAGCAAGAAGCTTCCTCTTGCCTCTTTCCC